TTTTTCTTTTTTCAATCTATTTTTACTGTTTTGATTTCCATATCTAAAGGGGCCATGAAATAAATTTTTGGCTGGGATAAATTATTTTACACTGGGACATTACACATTGCATACTGTTTAGTGGGCCAAAAGAAGGAGGGTAAAAAGCCAAAAGTCAGCTTTCTGGTACAAGCATTTAAGGATAGAGAGAACTATTTCGTACCTTTTTGCCTTTAAAAGCAGTCCGCCTTTTCACCATGATACAACCGTTGCACCCAAAACACGTCAGCAGTGTTCAAAGCACGTCACCCGACACCAGCTCTCGCATTGGACACGAGAACTGCGTCACTCGGACGTGTGCGGTCGTCCACAATCAATCTGTCGACGAACATTTGGATTCGCGTTTGTGCCCAATGGGTGCCCTGACAGAAGTTATCGTCACTTGCGAATGACAAGTTCTAGGATGCGCTTAGAAAGCACGGTGGAAGCTTCGAGTCCTCGCACTGTTGCTCAAGCACGTGACGACGGCGTGATTCCTCAATCCGCTTTTGAGTTGAGGATTAAAGCTGAGAAAGAAATCATATCATGACCTTTTTAAGCGGATTACAATAAGAATAGAAGTGCAAAGTGGGGGTGGGGATTACGTAAGTGGGCTGCTCCGTTAATCTTTGAGGATGTCACCCTCAGCTGGGTCATTGGGCGGTCATTTCCTGTCTCAGCGGCACTGTAGCGTGAGTGCGCTCGTAACGGTAGAAGGTGCTACCGCGCCACTTAACAAATTAGAGAACCAGAAGCAGCAGTAAAGCACGGGAATAATAGGCGGTTTTACGATATGCTTCAAACCTATGATTTCAGAAATATTATTTTAAATAAAATGGAATTAAAACAGCGGTGGTCGCACAGAGCTTTGCGTAAGTCTTTGGAGTGGTGCCGGCAGGCCGGAGAACTCCAGAACAAGGCGGCGGTGGCGCCCTCTACTAGCATCCACAGAAAGAGTAACCTCTCCTGCCAGCATCTGGACTCACTATTCCTCTCTAGAACACTGTACCCTGGTTCTGCCAGTTTCATTGTGCATAGAGTTTGGAGTTCATCCCCACTGGCATGCATGGCATTGAAGGAAAAGGAAGCTTTCAGCTCTATAAAGGAACTCTGAACAAACATTTACATCCCAGCATTTCCAATCAACTTGGGTAAACCTCCCTCACCACACATGCCGGCCATGTCAATGTCTCAACTCACAGACGAAGATGCCAAAATCATTGAGACTTCACGAGCAACAATCTAAAAAGTTGCAAGGAGACACTTCGAAAAACGGTTGAAGAGCAGCAGCTCCGATTAACTGGCCCCTTTAAAGTAGCAGTCAATGTTTCCTTTTCTTCTCAATTTCTGTTTTTTCTTTCTCGAGTGTTAAAGAAAGAAAGAAGACAAAAACAGTTTCCTACTCCCGATAAGACTACACAATTATCACATCAATCGCACCGCTCACACGAAGCTTCGCAGCTTCCTACTGGTGTGCGTGCGTTGTGCTTCATGCGTTAGCTCGATAGGTCTGAAAATTTTGCTCACCAACGTACATCTTTCCATAAAAGCAGCTCAGGTCATGTTCCTTACTGTGTTTGAGCATTCTGCACGGGCACCTTGTGCTCGCCGCAGTTGCAAGCACGCACTGGCTGAACTGTGATCCAGCCTCTGTGGGCCGTGGCTTTTCCCAGTTTCAGGCTTCCTTGGAAAGAGCTATAGGTCTTTGTTCTTTGATTACAATCACAGGTCAGCTCCTGGCTTTAAAGAACAAAATAAAGAAAAAATTTGGGCCATAGCATCTAAGTATGCAGTAGATCCTGGCAACCATAAAAGTGAATGTGCAATACCTTATGCAGAGCACTGATGGATGTTACATCTTTCCAAAGTTTACCGTATATACACCTTTTTTTTTTGGGGGGGGGGGGGGGGGGGGGGGGGGGTGTTTGATTGTGTTTGAAAAAGGACCAGTGCAGAAGGTTGTCAAGCCTGTTGAGGCACTGGTCCCTTAAGGTTAAATACATAGAATAGTGTTCTACCAAACCCCACGACAAAAAAAAAAAGATGCTCAGAAAAATGTTTAAAAACTAACTGATATTTTGAAGTACATAACAAAGTATGGCTATACAATATAAGCATGTACAACATGGAAATCAGCACTGATAATAAAAAAAGACCCTAGATTGTGAAACAAAGAATCATAACAGCTCTTTGTTACAGTGTAAACTAAGTTTGGTTCACCTAGAGTGTGTGCATGCACTCCGTGCGACGCAACTGGCGCGCCGCCGGTACCGAAAGTAGGCAGTGAGAACCCCAGAAAAAGCGAAACCGATACCACGCCGCATATGTTGGTACGCATTGAAGTTGGAGCAGTGCGGTTGCGCTGGGTTCACACCATGAAGTGCTGCCTGTGCTGCGTCATTAAGTGCTTCAATAGCTATGCGTCGTATCTTGTGGGGACAAAGTTTCACCGTTTTTCACCTCGCCGATGTTTTGTGGAACAACAATAACGATGGACCTGAGCCGTAGGACGCGAGAAATTTGGTCTCCCGATCATGTCTGCCACTGTGTCGGCACAGCTGACATATTCTACACAGCCGCTTTGCGCTCTGCGTTTGTTTTCGTACCAGTAGGGCCCACATGCCTATGGGACGAACTGCAATGCCATCCCACACTTGCGGGTATGCCTTGCCAATTTCGTTGGAGGAATGCCCTCCTAAGGAGTTTCGTTCCCATTGTACGCGTCAATGATATTTCCAGACCAGTATGGCACGCAGTCTGTACCTCATGAAGAAAGATTCCAACGGTAAAAAAAAGTAACAAATATAAATCTAACGAAAACAACAATGAAACTCGAAATCATGGAGAATCGACGTTTGAGTATGGAAGTTTATGTGGTGTGCTTTCTTTGTTGATCAGCCTCCTTTTGGATGTGGAAACGCTAACACCCCGAGTTCTGTAGACAACAATTTTTTTTCTCGGCTTTAGAGCCACCTATCGCAAAGTGGTTCGAACTGGAACTACCGTCCACTGGTCCCTTCCTACCTGTAAAGTGTGCACCTCCCACGATGAGTGGTATTATCTTGACAGCTTTTGACGGTCAAAACCAGTTCACATTTAGTTACGACGATTAAACTAAATTTCCACCTGGTTTCACTCTGCCAATTCTGTTTGGCTTAATAAGTGTTGCGTCAAGTTACGGTCATGTCAAAGTACCAGTGCGCTGAAAATCAGCACCTCGCACAACAGGTTATTACACAACCGCTGACCGCAAAAGCCCTTGACAACGAAACCGTGTGTTGGCCGCAACTTTGCTTTCTCGGCTTTGGAAGTACCTTTCGTAAAGTTGTTTCAATTGGAACTACAGTCCCACTAGTCCCTTCCTACCGATAAAGTCTCCACCTCCCACGACCAGTGGTATTCTCTTGACAGCCTTTTCATGATCAAAACCGGTTCCGATTGAGTTACGCCGCCCAAACCAAATTTCCACCTGGTTATCCCATGCCACCTCTTTTTGGCATAATAAGTGTTGTATCATGTTACTGTCAAGTCCAAGCACCTGTGTGCCCAAATCTGCCATTTGCACAGCCCGCTATAACACAACATTTTGTGTCCAATATTGGATATCCCGTACAGCTTTATTTCTTTATTCGTTAGAAGCATAATTTTCACACCTGCTGTCTTAATGAAACTTGGCACACTTTGTGCACATGTCACTCACCTCCAAATATCATCGTTCTTGCGGTCCTACGTTTACAGTGACGAACGAAATAAATTTCCCACTCGGAGCAATTATGGTGGCGGCTGTCTTGTTTTTCGGAAAATTGCTCCAACTCCTTTTTCGGCCGCAACTAGAGAAATTAGCCCTAGTAACGACTTAAACTGAAAACATAAGAAGCGAAGAACAGCTCAATGCCCTTCTGCCCCAGCACTCTTGCAACGTCACCCTCAATGGCTCAAAAAGCGTTCCGTCCGTACGCGCTTCTGCCGCCATAGCCTGGCATGCGAAAAGGCGCAGCAGGCTGCTGAGCGCGCCTCACTGTCGAACGCCAGCTCCTCCGCTAGCGGCGCGTTTTTCAAAGCGGCCCCTATAGTTCCCGCATGGAGCGTATATCGGCGCCCACCAGCAATGCCCTGCACTTGTTTTTAAATATTGGGAAAGATTGTTCATACTTCATAACGAAACCATCGTTTAATAAGCTTGATATTTTAAACTCTGTCTTCCGTAATTAGATCCGATATAGGGTGTCCTCATTTTTTTGTGACGCAACTGGTACGACAATGTTCCTCTTTCGCCGTGCGTAACATGTAACTTTCTTTTAGAAATGAACTGGAATGCTTTAAGGTAATATATTTGATTTGCTTTTAACATATTTAATAAAGAGTGGTTGAGTGCGCAGTTCACTCACATTACCTCTACAATTTTCGAGTATGCACAGAACATTTTGTTTTGCAGAATTAATGACTGATCGTAATCTGACATTGTTGTTGTGACCCAGATAAGAATTCCATAGCACATTGGAGAGAAAAATAGAGTAGTACAATGTTTCAACGAGCCACTTAGGCACCAGACTCCATATTTTACAAATACAACCAACAACTTGCGATAACTCGTATGTTAACTTATTTATGTGTGCAGTCCACTTCAGTTCTCGATTAAACCACACGCCTCAAAGTTTTTGCTCGGTCACTTGTTCCAATGTAATGCTGCCACGATCCCCCCAAAGAAGAGTGAACGAATAGAGTTGTGTACGGACCAAACACAAAGGCGGCCAAAGTTAGGCGGAAGGACTCGGGAAAGAACCATGGGGCAGCCTCCCAAGTGGCAGCCGACGTTCTGCCAAGAGGCTCTTGGGTGCTAAGGCTCTTAGCAAAGCACCGGTTGCCAGACCACCTCCTGACATTTGACTGTTGGAATTGGCCCAAAGATGCAGTCATTCTGGATGCCCATCAAAAGCTCATTTGAGAGGAGCTCAAGCTCCGTCTATCCACCACTCACTCACCAGGTAGAGCTTCTTCCAGACAGGGTGCCACTCTCGCAGCACGCAGGCCGCCTCAAACACCGTCGGTTCGTCTGCACCGACCACCGTCTCGTACGGCCTGGGAAAAAGAGTGGTTTTGATCTTAAGCAGGTGGTTGGATCGATTACAGGGACACTTAACTCCCAAAATACATGTTTTTAAGTGCTTCGATAGGACACTTGTGTCAAAAAATACACTTTCCCCGGAAAAAGAAAAAAGATTTTTAGTGGAGTACAGCCAAATCTCGTTAATTCAAACTTGTGGATAATTCAAACTAACATGCAGGTCTCATCCTATGTCTCTCTATGGGAGGAAGCTTCCGGTAATTCAAACTTTGCTTTATTCAAACAAACGTTCGGTCCCCCCCGAGCTTGAATTAACGAGATTCGACTGTATTTACATTGTGAGACACATTTTGAGTAGGGAGGAATTCTGAAAAATAATTGTATGGTCTCTACCAACATCAGCCTTAAAATAAAAAATGCTTCATAGTAAAACTGGGCGACTCTGTCCTGTGCACACATTTGCAATCGAAATTTTGTCACCCAAGTTTGCCATTCCACGAGGTAACAGGTCCAAGTTGACTGCTTACCCTTCATTGCTGATTCGGAAGCTCTTTAGCCTCACACATGATGCTGGGAAAATTCCCTGTAAAAAATAAAAGAACTCTCTCTAAGTCTCGAGATTCACCAATGTAACAATGTGGCATTAACAGAAACACGGAAATAAACAAAAAAATAGCTTACGCGTAGGAATGTGAAAGCATTCCTACACGCAGTGCACCACGTCTTCCTTTTGCAGACAGCACTCCAGCAGTCACATCACGCTCCCCCACTGCGCAGGCTTCACAGCTTCCGTGACCAAGCATCTGCGTTGCAGTGCTTTTCTTTGCGTTTTATTTCTGAGGCGCGTCCGCTTTGACCTTGAGCAGCACGTGCTTGATGACATATTTTGATGGCCATCTTTCGGGAACAACGCCGACGCCTTTTTGTGTAATGAGACATATAAGGCTTTAGCCTCAAAACTACAGTTCCGCTGTAGCTTTTTGGCATTTACCTCCGAGGGCCTCAAGAAACTCGAAGATCCACTGTTGATACTATTATGAACAAAAAAAAATGAAACAGACCAAAGGCTTTTTCAACAACTAAAGGTTAGGCACAAAAAAAAAAAAAAAAACTAATTGGAGGAGCACTTGAACTTGGAGCACTCTTCTGCCCTAAAAGTGGTCTGGGACTGGCAGTCAGACAAATTCTACGATAAGATAACAAACGGGGATGTGCGTAGCAAAATTAAGCTTAGTGATAAGCAATGGCATATAGAGATGCAGATTACCAGGCACGAGAGAAATCTAAGACGAATATGCAGTAAGAATGCTTACCTTGACTGACTTGTTGTTCAAGCAGAATCCCCTGTACCAGCCTAGAAAGATACAAAAGGACCGCCATGCAACTAAATGCCACACAAAAGTTCTCCCCTAAACCAATGACATGAATTGCCAATGAGCTAGAAATGAAGTCTCCTTTCAGGAGAAAAATCAATTGCCTTTCTTTTTTTTAGAAAACTATAAGGATAGTTAAAGGGACACAAAGATTAAACGAGTAGATTATTCTTGAAATGAAATAGGCTACTTTGTATGGTGGGCAACTTGGAAATCCAAAGCGTTGGTTCAGGTTGCCCTATCGCGTCAGTGGTTATTTCCAGTGCAAGGAAGCCGAGGCCACACGAGCGGCGCTCCGCCGCTGATAAAAGGCTGTCGCAATGTATGTGATGACGGTAGACTGTGTTGCTCAACTAGTGCGTCGTGTCATTCTCCAAGATGGATGGGAATTCCCACAGTATATACACAAAGTTTTGCGATTTGAGAGCTCTAGTAATTGCAATAATCAATTTACAAATGTCGATTATTTTCATCTGGCGACCAGGCAACACTGCCCACAGACCATGTGATGATGATGTGTAGGGGAACGCTCTCTCCTTCTAGGTGCCCCCATGCTCATCTCACCACAGTACGATCGCACATTCTCACACTTCTCGGCTACTCTAACGCTACTGTCGCCCTCGCCCACTTGCCCTTTGACCTTCTGCCCTGCATGCACGCGTGAAATCGTTGCAGACGAAGGCGAGTTTGTTTGTGAAGATCTTGTCGTCGTCATTGGAGCTGGTCGTCAGCGGGTTGAATTCAAAATGACCAGCTTCCCACATCTCTTGAGAGCAGTTACTCTCATCGCTGCAGCGATCAGTGTCCAAAGCCTCGTTTACATGAAAGTGACTTCAGCGCATCAACTCCACTCGTTCTTCGAACGAAGCTGACGCGGCGACGTTTACAAGAATGCGCACCAAACCCTGCACGAAGGTGGCGCCAGGCCATGTCAAAGCTCGAAGTTATGCACTTCCGGAACCAGCCGCACCACGTTTTCCGGTGTATCGCACGTGGAGGCCTTTCGACGCACTCAGTGAACATAAAGATTGTGCCCGCTGTCTTCGGTGCTGTGGAAGAAGCTACGAGACGGAAGAAACATCAAAACCCAATCGTTTAGGGTTCCAGGCCGGGCCGCCGGGTCACTGTGGATTAGAGGCGACATGTGTGCGCCCGCTTTGAGGAAGCCTCCGCGCTTCGCCGCGCCAGACCTCGCCGATCGCGACCGGACCAACCGGCCCCCTTGTCCGAAAGGTTCCTGCGCAGCCAGGAACGTCACCGAGGTAGGAGCTGCTCGTTCTGCGCTACCATGCAGTGCTCTACAGTGCTCGGAGCTCTCGTTGTCGTTCGTGCTTGCCCCGAAGCCTTTGGGACCCCTTCGGACGCGCAAGTCGTACTTCGCGAGGCTTGGACGGGGGCCGCCCTCACCGAGCAGCTCCGCTACATTCCGCTTGCTTATATCGCGATAAAAGCTCGTGTTTGTTCTCGGGAAAAAAATGCGGGACCGCTCTCCGCGCCGCCGACGAGGTTGGCCACCGCCATGTTCTCAGCTGTTCACTTGCTCCCGCAGCGAGTGCCTTCCCATAATCCTCCCCGTTCCAAAATGCGATGCGACCTCCGTTTACATGGGCTGAATGAATGCGCAATTGCCATCTTGATCCACCTCTGTCTGGTGCCTCGAATGCGATGCGCTTTCTTTGCGCATTATGTCGTTTACATGACCGCATTAAATGGGACAACTTGATTTGATGCGACTAAGTCGCATTCATGTAAACGCGGCTCAAGTCTCCGACGAAGCGAGCGATGCCGCCATTGTCTCGAAATCACGCGCTCGAAACACGGAGGATAAACAAAAAATCTGAAGCGCGAGATGCCGAGAAAGCCAAGTCTGCAAGTGCATACAATGGGATGCCACGCATTGGGCAAATGACGTCACCGACGCAACAAACATGACGGTCTTCCTGAATGGGGTGGATCCGCATATAAATCGATTTAAACGCAAAACTATCGCGCCGTTTTTAAAACAAACTTAGCGAAAATAAAGGAGTATGCAATGGGTCTTAGCAGTATAGTTATCTCATTTTATTTTTGGTGTGTCCCTTTAAAGCATCACTGAGAGGTAGACATTTACTTTTTTTAGTGGTTGTGGGCCCCAGAGCCTGCAAGAATTACGGGTGCAATACAAACAGATCTTGAAGTACCCTCGGTTCTTGCCAAAGTGCCTCAAAATCACCTCACGTCAATCATTCAATCCTTCCTGCACTTTTTTTAGCAATGATGGAATCTGGAACGTTTGTCTGCTTCTTGCACAGGGGTTGCGATGATGTCAGAATGCCGAGCTCTTATTGGCTGATTAAGAAAAAGCAAAATAGTGGGTAGACCTCAAGGAGCATTGAGGTCTACCAACTCTCCTTTCAATCAAAGCCAATCAAAGCTTAGCGTCGTTCTGACACTACCGCAACGCAACTCTTGTGCAAGAAGCAGACGACTTACGCATAAATCCAAAAAGGCTTTTGCAGCACATCAAAATATTTTTTTGTGAAAACAGATCACAACGATAAAAAGAAAAGCAGTAGTGGCAACTTCCAAAAGCCATATTTAGAAAAATTTGTAGCACTTCAGATATGGTTTTAGTTGGTTACGAATATTTCCTTTTTATTTAGCAAAGTTAAGAGCTTGTGGTTCCAATTAGAAACTTGCTGGGCATCACACAAAAATCACTAAAGAAGACACTTTTAGAAAAACCTAAGAGTGTGCAGCAATTTACTGGCCCTCGACAAATACAAAAGTTTCATGCACTGTTGTGGTAGGAGTGATCTGCTTGCTGCTGGCAGGGAATAGTAGTCATTAAGAGGTGTCTCCGAGGTTTAGAATTCCTATTGCCTGTTGACGTGAGGAACAGTGGAAAAAAAATGGCGGCAGGGCGGCACCCACCCGAACATTCTTCCAGGATGTGGACGGTCTCTCCGACGGACAGGGGGAGGCCGTGCCTCGTGTTTCCGCGATAGAAGCACACCACTGAAAGCAGACAGGGAGAGGGAACGATTGGCAGCTGGAGGACTGCTGTACCCCACAGTCTCTGCACTAAGACAAGAACAGGGACAGCTTCGCATTACGATGCCTTCACGTGTATGTGCCTACACTACAGACCGTTTACTGAAAGAGGGAAAAGGGCTGCCGGCGATTTCCTCCTTTCCCAAGTGGATAGGAACAAGCGAAAGACCTGGATGAATGCCTTGGTCTCCTGTGTCCCTTCAAGTTCGGTTGTTTTCTTTGCGGTTTCCTCTATTTTATTTAATTTCTCAATATAATTGCAGCTAGCGGAATCAATGACAACAAACCCCTGGTCATCATTGTTCAGTAATAGGCTGCACAAATAGCCAAAAGCACAGAATATTATCGGATAACATCCATATTGTGCACAGGATCCGACAAGGCAACTGCGGCTGCGATGTCTTCAAACTTAACTGTATTCCAAATGACCAACACCTCCGGTGACAGTGGGTTGCATCCGTAAACAGAAAAGACTTTTCTCCGATGCCTACCTTTTGAGTCTGCTCGGAACATCTCATTAAATAGAGAGTGCACGAAACGTGCTGCTGTACCCTCTATAAATGTGGGCAATGCTCGCAAGGTGGGCACAAGTTTCCTCGTGAAAATCACTGTTTCACCTTGTAACTTTTGGAGACTTGATTTCTCTTAAAAACTACCGTAAAATCCCAAGAGATGCCCCACCCCCCAAAGATAGCCCACCCCTATTATTGGCTCAATTTGCCATATTTTTTCAAACACTGGATGACAGCCCACTCCTGGTAATGGAAGTGTTGCGATCAATGATTGCCTATGCATAAACGCAGCTAGTCTGCTACGGCGGGATATAAGCGAACGTTGCTGACTGGCAAGTACAGACACCTTTGCATCACTGCCCCCCGCCAATATACAAAGCTTGAAAAGGTCACGACCTAAACATAGCAATTATTTTAAACTCTTCCTGATTATACACTGAAAGTAAGCCCACTCCATATTTTCAGCCGATTTGCTCCTGATGTTGGGTGGGCTCTCCCTTTGGATTTTATGGTAAGAATGTCAGAGAGGAGAGGAGGTTTCTCTCCTTTTCCCCAGCTTTCCTAGGGCTTTCCCTTTTGCCCCTCACCTGGCGTTGCCTTCGCCTGTACTGCATGCAGCTAATGGCACAGAGTATAGGATGGTGACAACAAACAATTTTGCGTCACGACGCTTCTTTTGTTTTAAATGTGTTGTTAGGGCAAGCACACATATGCATGCATGAAACACGGGCCGCACCTCTCGAATGGCATGGGCGACCACTGTAACCGTTTCGCGCCGACCCCGAGAGATGGCGGAGCGGCCACGGGCGGGAGCTGCGACGCGGGGTGACGAAGACGGGGTCGTCGGGCGGAATGCGAGGCTGAGGTTGCTTAGTGACAGGAGCGATACCGCTGCGCACGAGTACGTGAAAGGATAAAGTGTTCGAGAGATTTTTGCGTGTGAGTACGACCGAAGCAACCAGTGACGAGGTACGTCACAGCGTAGCATTCCTGGAGCCAGCCCTTAGGGCTTTCATGCCCGTGGCACATAGCCTTGATGGCGACATCACGCTTACGACGTTACGGCGTTCACATGACGTCATCAGCGCTTCAGAAGGTTCACTGTGGCATCATCACGTGAACACCGTGATGACTTCAGTGTTCAAGTGATGCCACCAGTGTGACGGTTGTCATTCGAAACAATGACGTCATATGACACTGTGATGCCATGTGACACCATGTCACGTGACCTGACGTCATGTGACATCAGGTGAAACCATGATGTAACATTGTGCATCACATAACCCTATGAACATCACATGACATTGTAATGTCAGGTGACATTACGACATTCAAGTGATCTATAAATGCTGCGCATTTAGAATGCCTATACCAAAGCAGCAGGCACCTTGTTTGCTGCAAAGCTCGTAAAAAAGTGCCTCCCGGCACACAAAGCTTCTGCTTTGGTTGTGTTCAGCGTCATCTTGTTACCCCCCTTTCTTTATATTTTCCCTGCAAGTGCATTCAGTCGGCATCTAGTTTTATGAGGAATGGCATCACCCTAATCAGAACAACATTGAGGAACCTCGCTTTGTATGCAGGCACACAACATCATGAATCTGTTATCAGCAAAATGTTGGCCAGAGGACTAAACCCTAATTAATTAGATGTGGTTTTATCGTCGAAATGTGGACATTCTCGAACAAGCCAGAACGAAGCATTTATAGCAACATGCTCTTCAGTGAGCTCAAGTGAGAGATATCAGAATCCTGTGAATGTGAAAAAGCTTCAGTGAGCTCAAGTGAGAGATATCAGAATCCTGTGAATGTGAAAAAGCTTCAAGCTTATATTGGCTCCCAGATCTAAAAATAGCACAAGGCTCTGCAAAAATCTGAGTGTCTTCCTAAGAAAATATTTAAGAACAATAGGAACAGACCAGTCACGAAAAGGACATAAGCTAAAAACCACCCTCACCCATCATACGGGAACAACCCATATGGTACCACTACTCCTCTTTCAGCAGCATTATTTTAGTCTGTCAGCTCAACAAAAGCTACAGTTCTTCCAGCCCTAAACCGGCAGTTGGGTAGTTAAACCATGAAGTGGTTGCATCAAGTTTCAAGACTGCGGCCGCATAATGCTTGCCATTATATGATTAAACTCTGAAATAGAGTCAAATGCAAAACAAAGCTTATAAGTATGCATTCAATGTAGACATAGCAACCTGGATATGTTTATATTCAGCAATGCCGGTTAAGGGAGATAACGGTTTCTTTTTGTGCGTAACAGAGACAACTCGTGCCTACATTACTGGGATTCTCCTGGAAGTTTATAGCATGTTTCGCAACTCCGCTGGCATACACAAGAGTTTTCATAATGGCTCTACAGTTTACTGCTCAGCAACATTTCCAACGTTCAAACGAGCTCGACTTGGAAGAAAAAAAAAAAAAAAAAGGGAACGGGGGAATTCTTTTTTTATTTTTAATACTGAGACCATCTCAGGTATCACAATGCTTGTTCTACACCTACTGCACATATTTCAGAAGGAAGTTACTTTTATTATCAAGGCCACCCGAGACTGCTGAGAAGAGTAGTAACGAAATAAGTGGACAGTGCGCGCTTACCTCTGTCGCCGTCCCTATCAGAAATTGGGCTTGATTAGTCCGACGCTTTGTAAAAAACGAATCTTCAAACAAACAAACAAAGATCAGGAAAAAAAAAAACGTACATTTTCTTGAATGCCAGGGGAAACATTCCTAGATGCTGATATTGCCTTTCGGTCTACGTTGGATGCTTTTGGACGCGAGTACCACATCGTGAAAGCTCCCGTTCTAGCAACACACGCGAGAGACAGTAATCACGTTTGCCTACGGACCAGGGTATGCATCCCAAAAGCACGCTCGACTGCCCAGACGGCACGTCGCCGATGCCGTCGTCAACGCGCACGCGAACCTCGTCGTCGGGATCGCAGCTCAGGGGTCCGCCGACGCAGCCGTGCCCGCACAGACGTGTAGACGGCAGAAGCCCGCTGGAAACATTGCCGGTCAACGCCGCGCGGTGACATATTTACCAACACAAGGCGATGAGACAGACTCCAGACGTTCCTCCATGTGAGGGCGGATCCACCACTAAGGACGTGCCGGGCGTGCGTCCCGGTTCACTCACCAACGCCGTACTTCTTGTTCTTCGTAGGCTCCCACATTTCAGTCGGCGAAATGCATTCGACAAGCTTCATCGAGGGACGGCATCAGTCCACGGAGCCAGCAATCCGAGAAAAGCGTCCGCCATTTTTCTTTGCTGCTATGGCAACCTTCAGGGGCTTTTAGTTTCGTTTTCCATGGGACGAGGGCATCGGGTAGATCGGGGACGAGGGTGCCACATTTCTCTAAATAATTTTTTTTTCTAGTCTTTGAAAACAAGGGGGTTACAATGTTCAAAAAACCTATTCTGGAAACAAAGCGATTCTGCCAGCGAGGCACCTGTTGGTCTTTGAGTTTCAGTTTCGGTATTATGCCTTGAGCGCGTGTTCGACCGCTGTACTGGGTGTACTGCTCATACCGCTCATACATCAGGGCCGTGTTCCAAATGTTATTCGATCTTACACTAGCGTAAACGGTTTGATACATTGGCGTTCCAAAACTTACCCGCGTTCAGCGCTTTTCAATCTGTATTATCACGTGACATGACCCGCCGGAGTAACTCGGATCCATTTGGGCAGGATTTGGAACCAAGGAGATTAAAAGGGTAGGAGGGGCCATGACGTCAGCCGTGTAGCCTCCACAAGCATGTCCACAAGCCATGCTCCCTTGATGCCTCGCTTCCACTGATCTCTATGAATTGGACTTCTTCCAAAACCGACGCGCCCCATCGCGGCGAAATACCACGCAGTGCACTCTGGGAACTAGTTGGCCACTCAGTTTCGGTTTCGACTGAGCAGCTTATTCATCTCATGCTATCACGTCGCGACCGAACGCGCTGCTTGCGTTTTCGATTATCTGACTTTTTACGAATGTACAGTACACTAATTCTCGAGCGATACAAAAGGAAGACCGGGGCACTTTCCTAAGTTCCCGAAACACCGGATATTGTGCGTGCGTATGCAAACGTAGTAAGACGTCGCCCAGTCACCTCACCCCACGAGTGCATCTTTGAGCTCGGATTTCAATAATCCCGTCTAGTACCAGTGAACTACAACTGAAATTTGGTCACCTTGAGCCTTACACGTATTTTGTTTGCCACGCGTCCGCACCTTGTTACTTCATTGGGCGAAAACCAAGCCGCATCCTCACAGGAGTATCAAAGCTGAGCCCAGCGTTGACGCAAAAACTTTTAAGAAAACGCCATAAATTCGCCCTTACTACTGCACAAAAGTTACTATGATGTCTTCCTCGTGTCATCATATATCTCCGACTCCAATTTTATGCTGATAGAAGATTAAGTTTTAGCAAACGCTGAGACCGGCTAGCTACGACGGAAGCCCTAACAAGCGTCCTCTACTCCTCGCTAAGCCTTTTTGGACGAGCTTTTACTAACGCTCAAGATCTGTGCCTGAACGGTGAGTGTGAAATTATCTCGGCACACTCAGTCAGGGAGAAAGCAAACGCTAACAAATATTATGGCCATTAGCAACCGTCAAATGCGCTTTGAATAATTTCGTTCGTTTGGCGCACCGCATAGGGAGGGGTTCATGCCCGTCCGGCGCACTTCCAGCGAACGGTGCGAATTCTTCAAACAAGTGCTCGACTTTTGCTTTCTTAAAACGGTTTGTATGTGCGAATGTGCCTATATGAGTGCAGGATATCTTTATGCGGATACACGATGTTGAATATTAGCGGAATGCAAGCGGGTGGGGACTTCACTTCGTGCAGTGCTGCCGGTCAGTACAGATAAGAGATAAGAAGTGTTAAAATTGAGGCGTATCAAGAAAAACAGTAATTGCAAAAAGTTATATTTCGTCTATGAAGGCACGAAACAAACAAACTTCCTGATCAACAACACTAATGTAAAGGCGCGAGCTTATTGTATTCTTATTGGTTGCTACAGCTTGTTGACTCGTACACAAGCAAGATCCTCGAGCTTCGTGGCGTCGAGATTCCCAGCACCGGTTCGTTCACATACCTCGAAACGCTAACACAAAGGCTAAAGTACAAAAAAATACAACAAGCATATGTTAAGACAAGCTATACGTCTCGGGCTTGTGCTAAAGCTTCGAGATCTGGCCATTTAGGCTAGTTTAGAGACAAGAAATGACGCTCTCGGGACCAGAAAACGTGAGATAACGGCCGTTAATAGTCCACGCTTTATGTATAATCTCTTGTCGACGTGTCGATCGAAACCGAAACCATGCCACTCTCCTCCCTGGCCAACTAGTTCCCAGTAGGGATGTCGCGAACCACCCCAGGTTCGATTTCGAAAGGTTTCGATATTTGCGAAGCAAACTGAGGTTCGATTTCGAAAAAAATTCGATATTTTCGTACCGACTGAGGTCGAATTCGAAAAATTCGCAACTTTCAATCACAGTGGAATTTCGAATTCGAGAAGTTCGAAGCTTTCACGGTTTCTGAAATTTCGAATTCGAATATTTCGAATATATTTTTACATCAGGTTCGATAAATTCGAAGATTTCGAAATTCTTTGGAAATAAAATTCGAAAACTTCGAACGCTTCGAATTTTTATAGACATGAAGTTCGAACAATTCGAAGATTTCGAATTTCTTTCTGCATAAAGTTCGAAAAGTTCGAAGGTTTCGATTTTCTTTTAACGCTAAATTCGAAAAAAAAAACTTCGAAGATTTTGAATTCCTTTCTAGTCCAAGTTTTCAAAGTTCGAAGTCCGGTTTTCAAGTTCCTCCACAGTTTGTTTCAAATAACGTTTTCACGACTCACTGGTTTTCACAAAATCAAGTTTAGAAAAGTTAGGGTGTGATATCTAGATTCTGCGAAGTTGGTCAGGCAATTAAATGAGACGACGAGTGTCCCGGATGTGCTGGAATATTTGCCAGTGCAGAGTGACGTGTGATCATAGATCAGTAATTGTGACCGCCAGCCCGGGGAGGGGGGGGGGGGGGGTCTTTAATTTGCATCACGCAGTAGTGATCACACGAACACACTGTTTTAGGAGACTCATCCAGTTCGAAACGGCCAGGGGCGAGCAGGAGGTTGAGGCTCAGAAAAACCTTGAAGCGACCTGGCAAACTACCTCGCCACCCCTTACACGCTGGTAGTAATCCGATCGAACGCCGCCCGAGTGACGCTGGCACATAGTAAGTTAAGTTTGTAATCGTTCTGGAGTTTTATTTTCCGGGACGGAGGAAACGCCGAGCAAAAATTTTCTAAAATCATGAACCAACTAGCCCGCCAAAAGGTGTTACTTAGCACAGAAGCCTACACAACTCGAGGTCGAGGAACGTTCTACCATACCAGTGGCGTCGGAAGAGGAAAAGCATGGGGGAGGAAGTGGGGCTCCAGCCCCCCCCCCCCCCCCCCCCCCCCCTTCCTTCCAGATAGTTCGGACTGTTAAAGAAAACATTACGGGGAAAGAGGGCGTGGTCGAGCTTATTTTAATCTGAAATTATTTATGCATATGTATAGCTACTGTCGCTCTTCACTGCATAAAAGTTGCGAAGATGGTCATTGTTAGAAACTTGTTGTCAGAAGGCACTACTCGTCACATGCTTAGTGGTTCGAAGTTCAAAGCTATGTCTTTTCGACCTAAGTACCTGTGCCAATAGTAAAAAAAAAAAAAAAAAAAAAAGAAGAAGAAGAAGAAATGCGGGGATAAAAAGCTGGAGAAAAAAAAAACTATCAAGACTTCGCCGGAAGTGTTGTATTCTTGCCTATTCAGAGGTTCAGAACTTCGAAACAAGTTTCTTTTACCAAAATCTGTACAGGCTAAAAGAAACACGTCCCAGGAACGTGAAGCGAAAAAAAAAATGTTTTCTTGTAATGACGTGCTGAACTTGAACACTATTAGAAAAATCTCTCCCATGGGTTAATTTATTCCTTTACGTGAAAAAACAATAAATACATTATTTTGTATTCTGCAGATGGCAATGTTATGTGCTGTCTGTGGTGTTAATTTAAATTCGATACCTCAAACAACTTAGACGAAAATAAATATCAAGTTTAGGGCATAATTGCATGTCGATACATGTTTGGACATTTCTTCGAAACTCACGTACCTAGGCTATACATAGATCATTCTTAAAAAAAGTATAACATCTCTACCATAAATAGCTTCGGCTACAGCGTGCTTCAAATCTGGCACAAACGATAATCGTCAAAAACCCGTCGTCCTTCCTCGCCCCTTCGGGAATTTATTTCTTTAAAACTAAGCATGCCAGAACATTAAAACAAACGGCCTTGTCTTTCGTAAGGAACGCAGCACCGCGTGTAAAAGTTCGAGAAAAAAAAATTGCGAGTGTACCTCACTACTTGGATTCAAATGAAACCGTCCGCCAATCTTTCGAAGTTCGACGAACGTCGAACTTTTGGGTGTTGTATAGTTTCTGGCCTGGGTGGAACCCAAAAAAAAGGGTCCCTCCCCTCAAAAGGGATTAGAGGGGATTGTTTCCCTGGACTGCCGCCCCTCGAAAGGGATAAGCATGGATTATGCTCGGAACACTTCTTTGCATAAACCCGAGGCAATCGTCGCGCTCTGATAGGACGTTCGACGCGGAGCTTTGTTTGACGCTCTCCGATTATATTAGAGAGAAAGGGAAGTGCATGCGTGGATAGACTGAGTGACGGGGGGCAACGGGGGCTTCAAAAAAGCCGGGTGGCTTTCTTGAAGTTTCTCGAAATGCGGCTTGTCTTGTTTTGGATCGGTAGAAACACTTCGCTACTTCGAGCAGCGAGCGGCCGCTAAATTAACCGCTGATGCGTCGTCATACCGACTCCGTGGAATTTGGCTTGTCTTGGATCGGCAGAAACACTTTGCTATTTCGAGCAGCGAGCGGCCGCGAAATTAACCGCTGATGCCGAGTGGTTTTCGTGACGAATCGTCCATGTCTCTTCAATCTGCAAAATGCGGTTTGTTTGCTTCGCTTTTCTACGAACGTACCGATATTGTGAAGCAAGGTGCGTTTCTCGGGCTTTGCGTAATCAGGATAAATCGTGTTCTTTTCAATACGCGTCGAGTACGTTGCACCGACTCCCTCGTGAACCGCGCGCCCGAAAACCACGAGAGGCAAGGTAAGCGAACGCCTCGGACCCCAGAACCGCGCGAGACGGCAAAGCCCGCCGAGGAGCCTCTGTGCTCTCCTACTTCTGCGTGTTTTCTCGTACTATGTCGACTTTGCGGAGTAAGAAA